ATATTTATGTTGAGTAAGTGGTTTCAACCAGCCTAGTACAATGTCTTGTTGTACTTTGGGGTTAAAAACAGAGTTTTAACCTCTTATTCAATAGATATCACAATTTTGACAATAGAGCTTACACAAAAATTACTTATTTTGAGCTATAACGTAAATGCTGAAAATAGAGAAGACAAGTAATTTGGTGAGGCAGTTCCCCCGTCATCCTCGCTTCGGGGTACGTTTGCCCTCAATTCTAAAACTAGAATTGAGATATATTTTATAGATATCACCTGTTTGAATGAACAGTTTATACAAGGATTGAGCAGCAAATATACAACAGAAATCTCAATGTGTTGAAAGTTGCCTTCACTCCTTGCCCCTTGATTCAAGCTGAATCAAGTTCTTCGATTTGTGTTGATGGACCTCCGACTCCAGCCACCTTATTGAAGAACACGTTGTTGTTCAAACCTTTGGCTCCGGCTGATCTCAACAACACCAAATCAAACCCGAGATCTTCCCTTCAAAATCACTGAATCCACTACTAGATTTGTGAAGACCACCTCTTCACAATCACCTTCGCTCGATTGACCGTTGATGAAGAATCTCGTCCAAAAACCCCCAAAATTCGAACCAATCTTGGAGGGTAAAACCCCAATGGTTTTATTCAAGAAAGAACCTGTCGCAATCTTCAACCCGAGCTTGATTCTCCAATCTAAGCCTCGAACCTTATCACCTTGAATCTCTCACAAATGTATTTCAAAAATGATTGTGTGTAATTGAAATGTTGTGAGATGTTGAAATGAAAATGATGAATCTTGGACACCTATTTCACTCTTTCTTGTTTTTGAACACATGAATCAAAAGAATATCAAATGTTAGTAGACACAAGTGTTTAAGCAAGTATATATAGTGCCAACATAATTCAGGACATAACAGTATTTCAAATATGAGAGGGAAGTATTTTAAAACAGATTTTCCGCGCGAACGGTCGACCATAATAGGTCTGTGCGTCGACGCATGGCCTGCGCTGTTTTGGATTTCTGGAAATTTCATCAGTGTGCGTCGACCATACAGTCGGCGTGCGCTGACCCGTTGAAATCCATTTCCTTTGTGCGCCGACCCTATGGTCGACCCATGCTTTGTGCGCTGACTGATTTGGCCTTTTTTCTGATGAATACGCCGACCCTATGGTCGACCCATGTCCTACAAGCCTGCAAAAATTCATTAGTTTGAAGTTTTTCATGCCTTTAGTCATGATTGCATTTTGTCAACATAAAGTATATTCATTTCAGAAGTTTTAAGACAAGCGTAAAAAGGATATGGTGGGTGATACGTTGCATCTGGTTTAGTGGATCTAGAATTCATACTTTCCAGTCTATTCAGGGAGTTTGTCATCATCGAAACCTGCATTAACCAATGTCTTGCAGACTTGTGTGATATGTGGCGATTTGCCTCCACACTTGATCTTTTATTAACAAAATGGCTTTAAGAGTTAAGATTCAACTCACTTTTGGCCAGGATTCTGCTTTCTAACTCTTCGCTATTGTTGTTGCCAATATTAACATTCTCTATCCAAGTTTTAAAATGGTAACTTCTTTAATTCATTCACAATAATAACCTTATTAAGATTACTTCCTGCCTAAATGTTCAGAATCTCTCTAAATCACAATCTGCAAATGTCAATGCTATCGAGGAGAATGTTGATTTCTTATTTGTTGGTGTATATGCTTTTTTAGTAAATCTAAATTACCTTTCTTTCAAATCATCAACATTTGTGCTTGTAAATGTTTCACAACATTCGATTTTTACATGGGAAGAAAATGATCATGATGTTAACAGTGGCTCAACATCAGTAAAATTTGGAATCATCAGTGGCCAATAATAACAATATAAATTATGATATAGTTGGAGCTACTCAATATTTAGAAACCAAACCACCAAAGAAAATAAAAATAGAGCCAAACAATTGATAAAGATGAAATTTATTTGCTTCATGTCAATATCATGTTGCTGACTTTTTATGTAGTTTAGAAATATCAATATTCAATAATTCCATTTATCATACAAATGTTGGTGAAGTTATTTGTATCTTGATGTTTATTTTGATATATTTAAAGGTGGTTTTATAAATGTTTCAGAATTTTCAATTTGTAATCCAATATAACATTTTCTTTTGATAAATTAAGTTCCATGTCATTGACAACACAATGGTCTAATATAAGTATAAGAATCTAACAGTAGACAGGTGAACTTGCATACTACTCCACCACTCTCTCAGTGGCATAAGAAACCTTCTGCAGTATCATAGATTCAGCCGTACGAATTGGTCTCTGTGATCCTGTTATGGTAACTTTCCTGTATAACAAGGAAAAAGAAACACCCATAAATACAGCAGTTATTTTAAGCTATAAGAGTCAGTGACATATCTTGTTAATTACACTATTTCGCCGTTGTTGGGATTATATCTTGTTAATTACAATATTTCGCCGCTACTGTGATTAATTTCGGCCTGCTATTTGAATCACTTCGGTTACCTTTCAAATTAAATTTTATGTTATGCGAGTTACTATGCTGAATGCGTATTCAATTTAATTTTGGTGATTTTGTATTTATGTTGTTCGTTGTGTATTCAATGAATCACTTGCTACTAGTAGTTTCTCTGCATAGCCATACCTTTCATGGCGTTCCAGTATCTGCTCCATGCTGTTTCAATGAAACAGTACAGCCAAAATTACATTCTTTTGTGTTCTTTAATTATTTTTAGTTGTACCTTACTTCTTCCCATTTTTTTTCTTTTGCGTTCTTTAATTATTTTTAATATTGCTACCACACAATGATTTTATTGAGGCATCAGAGTTCTCATTGTTTTCCCAATAATCATTGATTTTCTAAGAAATGATTATTTTTTTCAGAAATAGTCATTGATCGTAGTTGGATGAAAGCTAATCGTTTAGGTGCAGAATACGATAAAGGAATGGAAGCATTTTTTCAATATGCTCGTGCAAAACTTCCTAATAATAATAAGTTTTATTGTCCATGTGTTAATTGTTTGAATAGAGAGCCGCCACTTTTAATAGATGAAATACGAAATCATCTTGTTTGTGAGGTCATTTGCCAAAGTTATACCAATTGGATATGGCACGGTGAACCGTCAAATAATACGTCAAGTGTGTCAGAAAGAGAGGTAGTTGATGTAGATATGGACAATCGGCTAGAGGACATGATCAATGCTATTGGACCCGAGTCTTTTCAGCATGCTCATATGTACGATACTTTGTGCAGTGATAATGAAGAGTCATTGTATTCGGGATGCACTAACTTCACACGGTTATATGCGGTATTGAGATTGTTCAACTTGAAGGCAAGAAATGGATGGACGGATAAAAGTTTTACCGAACTACTTGAGTTGTTGTGTGAAATGCTTCCTGAAGGAAATAGATTGCCAAATCGTAATTACGAGGCAAAAAAGATATTGTGTCCGATGGGTATGGAGTACAAGAAAATACACGCATGTCCTAATGATTGCATATTATACCGAAATGAGTATGAAGAGTTGAAGGAGTGTCCCACATGCGAGCAATCACGTTTCAAAGTGAAAGATGGTGATTTGAATAGTGATGAAAACACAAAGCATCTTCCTGCAAAGGTGTTGTGGTATCTTCCAATAATTCCAAGGTTCAAAAGATTATTCGCTAATTCAAAAGATGCAAAGAATATTATATGGCATGCGATTGAGAGAGAACGTGATGGACAACTTCGTCATCCAGCTGATTCTTTGCAATGGAAGAAAATTGATGATTTGTATCCGGATTTCGGTAAAGAGGCAAGAAACCTTAGGCTTGCACTTGCTACTGATGGAATGAATCCATATGGAAACTTAAGTAGTAATCATAGTTCATGGCCTGTTCTATTAACCATCTACAATTTGTCTCCTTCAATTTGTATGAAACGAAAATATATTATGTTATCCATGATGATTTCGGGCCCAAGGCATCCAGGAAATGATATAGATGTTTATCTAAGTCCTTTGATTGAGGATTTGAGAATGCTCTGGGAGGAAGGTGTTGATGTGTTTGATGGCTATTCCCACGAGAACTTCAAGATGCGTGCAATGTTATTTTACACTATCAATGATTTTCTCGCATATGGGAACTTGTGCGGTTATAGTGTTAAAGGACATAAGGCGTGTCCTATATGTGAAGATAACACATGCTTCCAACAATCAAAACATGGAAAGAAGACAGTGTACCTTGGGCATCGGAGATTTCTTAAACCTAATCACCTATATCGTAGGTTGAGAAAAGCGTTTAATGGAGACCAGAAGAATGGAATTGCTCCAAGAGCATTAACTGGAAAGGAAGTTTATGGATGGGTGAAGGATGTCAATGTTCTATTTGGAAAGAACCAAAAACAAACCACTCATACAAATATATGGAAGAAGAGGTCGGTGTTCTTTGATCTACCTTACTGGTGCAATTTAGATGTTAGACATTGTATTGATGTGATGCATATGGAGAAAAATGTGTGTGATAGTGTAATCGGAACACTTCTCAACATTCATGGAAAAACAAAGGATAATGAAAATGCTCGTTTAGATATGGTTGAGATGGGTATACGACAATAATTAGCTCCACAATCAGCTGGTAAGCGGACATATTGCCTCCAGCTTGTCATACTTTGTCAAAAAATGAGAAGATAAGCTTTTGTGAGTGTCTACGTAGCATAAAAGTGCCTCATGGTTACTCTTCAAATATAAAGAGTCTTGTCTCAATGAAAGATTTGAAATTGGTTGGCCTAAAGTCTCATGATTGTCACGTATTGATGCAACAACTACTACCAGTTGCTATTCGTGGCATATTGCCTAAAAAGGTTAGAGTTGTCTTAATTAGGCTTTGCTTATTCTTCAATGCTATTTGTAGCAAAGTCATTGATCCTAAAAATTAGATGAGTTAGAAAATGAAGCTGTTGTTATCTTATGCCAATTGGAGATGTATTTTCCCCCTTCTTTTTTTGATATCATGGTGCACCTAATTATTCATCTAGTGAGGGAGATTAGATTGTGTGGTCCTGTTTATTTGAGGTGGATGTATCTAGTTGAGCGATACATGAAGATCTTAAAAGGGTATGTGAAGAATCAATGTCGTCCTGAAGCATCTATTGTTGGGAGATACATCACAGAAGAAGTTATTGAGTTTTGCTCTGAATACATGTCTGAAGCAGATGTTATAGGAGTTCCTAAGTCTCGTCATGGTGGAAGATGTGGAGGTATTCGAGGTTTAAAACTTAAGAGCATAGCCCGAGTGGAAGTACTTCAATCACAAATGTATATATTGAATAATACTGATGAAGTCCAACCTTACATTTCTGCTCACAAAAACATTGTCAAGGAAACATTTCCTGGAATGAATGAAAAATGGGTGTTGAACGAGCATAACAAGACTTTTTTAAAGTGGTTTAAAAAAACCATTTTAGTTGATAATACATGTTCTGAAACATTGAATTGTCTAGCAAGGGCGCCTAAATTTGATGTCATAACTTCGACTGGCTATGATATAAATAATTTTACATTTTATACAATGACCCAAGATGACACTAGTATTATGAAAAATAGTGGGGTTATGGTTATAGCTGAGTCCATGCACTTCTCTAGTTCAAAAGATAAAAATCATGTTATGGCATCAATAGCTTACTATGGGGTCATAGAAGAGATTTGGGATATCAATTTCATTACATTTAAAGTACCTCTATTTAAATGTAAATGGGTTGACACAAAAAATAGTGTTAAGACTGATGAATTTGGTTTTACATTGGTGGGCCTTGAAAAAGTAGCCTATATGGATGAACCTTTTATTATGGCATCTCAAGCAAAACAAGTGTTTTATGTTAGGGACCCTTCTAACAAAAAATGGCCAGTGGTTCTCCAAGGTAAAAGCAACCACAACCCTAATGATAGTGAGCATGCAACGCTAGATATTTATGAGACTCCTTCTTTTTCTCAACGGGTGCCAACTTTAGTTGAAGATACTATTGGTGACGAGGTGTATGCCACTCGTGAAGATCATCAAGAAGGGATATGGGAAAATATTCAAACAATACACAATTAGAATAGAAATGGTGAGTTTTTATCTAAATATGTAGATTTTAAGTATTTTTTTTATTGTCTCGTGTACAATATTTTTGTCATATAATTTCATATATTTCATATTATTGAGCTTGAATTATTATGTTTTTTTCTCTAAACAGACACATGGGTGATGCATTATCTCCTTCGCAAAGTGGGTTGAATACTCTATCAACCAAAACAAAAGTAAGAGTTGCACCAGGATGAAAAAGTTGCAACTTTTGACTGCACGGGATGAGAGAATACCAATTGATTTCAATTCAGATGGACATCCTATAGAGGAACTTGCAAAAGATTTCAAGTATCATGTTGCTTGTCTCGCTCGAGAGAAAATCAGTATTCTGATTGATGAATGGGATAAGGTTGGTAGTGAAGACAGGAAAGAAATTTGGAAAGGACTTGAGGTAATTTTAATTGCATTTGTCACAATTATACATAACTTTAATATTTTGATATGTACTAACTCTTTTATTTGTTGTGTAACATAGTGTCGCTACTGCGAAAATCGGCGCCGGCTGAACAGAAGAGTCGCCACCGTGCGTTATTTATCCCAAAGGAGGGAAAGGGAACGCTCGAAGTAAACCTACCGCAAAAACGCGAAAGGAATGGTCATCGCAACCAAATCCTGGATTCGGGAGTCGGTTACGCAAGGGGAAGGTATTAGCACCCCTCACGTCCGTCGTACTCGACGGGATCCACGCTTATTTTCTGGTACGGATGCAAAACAATCTATCTACGGCTGCTCAATCTAAACGGAAATAAACTGACTCGATAGAGCGTCGCACTCTATGCCTACGTATTCTCAAGAGAGAAAGTCAGAGTCATCGTAGTTCGGGAAACTACAGGGAATTGGCTCGCCAAGACTTCGCGTCTTGTGCCTACGTACCTCCACACAACATGGAAGATCAGAGCTTTCGTAGTTCAGGCTAACTACGGCTAGACAGGGTATTCTCGATCACACAGGAGTGAGAGACTAAGCTTGGTTCTAGAGGTAAAGGAACCTACGGGAACATAGAACTACGGTCTGGTCTCGATCGCGCAGCAGCGAGGGAAAGGGAAACATCAGTCGTCAGCGGGAAAGTCTCGATTGCACAGCAGCGAGAGAACAGAAATGTTAGTTATTAGTGTGCTCGCTAGGATATCGCATCCTATGCCTACATATTCTCATTAGATATGAGAAATCAGAGCAGCTGTAGTTCAGCCTACTACAGCTACAACGGGAAAAAGGGAAAATGGAGCTCGCTAGGATACGGCATCCTATGCCTACGTACTCTCGTCGGGCACGAGAGATCAGAGCTAACATAGTTCGACGGGAAAACGAATCTCAATTGCACGGGAGCAAGAGAAGGGGTCTCGATCGCCTGAACCCGAGAGAAAGGAGGTAGCAGGCCGACGCCTAAACGGGAAGGAACTCGGGACACACATGCGAGAACCTAAGAAGAAACTCCTCAGCTGGCACTTCCTTTGTATCTGATGATGCAGCCCACAACACTCGCTGGTTGCCTGAAGACTTGAATACGACAATGATGATAAACGAAGCAGCTCCGAGGCTCCTGACGTACGCGCAAGCTCCATTCCAATCTTCTCCTTTCTGGATCTTTGATGATGACGCTCGAACCAGGGACAATGTGACGCTTAGACCGTCATGGTTCGACTTATACGAGAAATCGAACTCTCAGAGGTAGCGTATTGATGTCCGTGTCAAAGACAAGATAGAGAAATGATATCGAAAATCATTCTCCAATTGAATCGTGTCACACGGCCAGCCAGAAATAAAATTGGGATAAAATCGGATAGAAAATAAGATAGGAGAGAAAATAGGAGACAAATCCACTAACAAATGGAAATAAAAGTCTACTCCTAAAATACGGCAATTAAAGTCCTAAGGGAACATCTCTAAAGAAATTAAAAGGAAATTGCGTACTAAAATAGCATAAAAATACTATAATATTCTATAGAGAAAAATATGAAAAACTATATTAAATCTATATTATTTTACAAGAAAATGGAATTAAAATCCCTGATAGTGCATTTAATATTTCCAATAAAGAAAAAAATATAAGGAAAAAACAAAAAAAAACAGCAAGGGGGTTTCATTAGTAGCTACAAGGGTGCAGCAGACAAAAAAAAAACCTAAATGTTGGGCCCAGCCCACTAAACAGCAACCAAACAAAAATAGGGGAGGGGGGAAAGAAAGAAACCGGGGGGTGTGTAAAGCCATACACGAATGGGCTTGAGGCCCAATGCCAAACCAACCGTCCACTTCTCATATCCCTTCAGAAACCCTAAGTCTCTCAGCATCCCCAAACACTGTTCACTCAAGATCCTTGCGACGTTTCTCCCAAACCTTCTCTCCGCTCAGACCTCTTCTCCATCTCACTCAAACTCCTTGTCTTCATTCACCACTATCACTAAACATCTCAATCTCTCCTCCGCTTTGAATCATCAACAACAAATGAACAACACAATTAAGCTAAAAATCTTCTGCAAACAAAATTAGACGGCGGCTTGCATATCGCGGAAGATCTGAAGTGGATACGAAGTTCTTCGTGGATGAAGACTTTGAAGCACATCTGGAGAATGTTCTTGATGACGAACCTGACGGCGCTCCTTGAAGATTCTCGACGATTCTGTAGATGCTTCGAAAATCATACGAAGACGGACGAACATGCATGAAGGAGTTCATCGAGGATCTGTCAAGATCTTCGAAGATCTTGAAGCAATCTGGGAAATCATTGACGAACAGGGGATTTCGGTGAACTTTGATAATTTTTGGTGGAGTTTGTGAATAATCTGGAGAACGTGGCGTTGAAGTAGGGATCGGTGAGGAGTGTTCTGGATCTACGAACTTTTGAAGAAGAACACTGTGTGAAGATGGAAGGATCCGGAGAAGCGTTTGAAGATTTGTTGTATTCACAAAGATCTGAAGTTCTCGGAAGCTTCGTGGTTCTTTGAAGAAATCTGGAGGTCGCGATGAACATGCTTGACGAAGATGTGAAAGATCTTCTGGGAAACTCTATGAAGATCTTGGCGAATCTGGAGATTGTTGATGAACACGGGCGAATTTCCTTGAAGTTTCTGGTGAGATCCGTTTGAAGATTCTCTGGACGAAGGATATGAGGCAGATCTTGAAGATTCCGGAAGCGGATGAAGGCTGGATGATGATGAATGTTAAAATTTCTGGAAAAAAGGCAGTATGAGGATGATGATGAGTCTAGATCGGAGGGGATGAAGGGATGAATTTTCTGGTGAATTTAGCAGTTTCCGGCGGTTGTTATGGTGGTCGCCGGCGACGGTTATGTGGTAGTTGCGGTGGTCCGGTGGTGGTCACCAGCATTTGCATGCCGGCCGGTGGGTTCTCCGACGATGGACTGTGAGTGGGACAGGTGGTAGAGGGTGAGGGAGGTGCTAACACATGGCGCATGCAAGACTTGCATGAACGCCAAGTGGCGGAGGGAGAGAGAGTGGAACGGTGAGGTGGAAGGGCCCCCTGAAAACGCGTGGCAGACCCCTCTTATAGACACTTGGCGCTGGACTGGGAATTGGGCTTTTGAACATTCTGGATAAACGGCCCAATATGGATTGAACTCTGATTAATGACCCAATTAAATGCTAATGCTACCTAATTAACTAAACGAGAGAATTAAGAACAAAATCCTAATTAAACTAAAACGAAAGTTAATAAAACCTAATTAAAACCTCTAATTAATCTATTAAAAAAAATAGAAAAGATTTATTTAATATCTAAAAAAAAACTATTTAAAAATTCTAATTAAATCTGAAAAATCAAATAAAATCTAATAAAATCTAAAAACATTTAATCCTATTTTAAAAAAATCTATTCTTTTTCAAGAAAAGTAATATCTAGTTATATCTATTTAAAAAATATTCTATTAAAAGGAAAGTAATATCTAAAAAAATTTAAAATCTATTAAATCTCTAAAGAAAAAAAAAGAATATTTATTTAAAAATCTAATAACTATTAAATTCTATAAACAAACTACTAATCTATTAATAGCAAATAACCCTATTAAAATCTATTAAATGCATTAAAAATCTAGAAAATAAAAGAAAAATCCTAAAAAAATGCCAGGTGGCCGATTAAATCGATTATAAAACGATTACGCAACCATAACGAAACCCGGGCACCGAGATGGCCTGAAAACACAAGGAACGAGCACCAATTCTCAAAATCCGCTTATTCAAACCGGCTTGAACTGCCTGAAACGCCAGGGGCTGCAATCCCAATAAAATCGATCTGACTGAGAAAAATGCAATGCATGCAATATGCGAATGCGAATGCAAAATGCGTTGAAGCATAAACCACATAGGGGAACCGGTTGGTCAAATTTTAGGGTGCAACAGCTGCCCCTATTCAAGCGGCTTGGACCCGACTGGGTGAAGAGCGAACGACCTTCAAACATTCGAGGTACGAGACGGTTGAATACCAAAGAAACCCTGAAATTTGCCAACCGCAGAAATAAACTGCACCACTGCTTGGGGAACAACATTCATTGAGTGAACCTGATTGTTACGGTAACAACCGCTCATTTGTTAGAGAATAACTCTAATTTTGACTCCCACCACCCATGTAACACCACAGGTACTGAACTATCTTTGCAAAAACCCCTATGTCCATAACTGGACTAACCTTGTTAACACCAGAAGAGAAGCAAATTCGTCAACACGAGTAAAGATCCCATCATCACAGGAAAAATCTTATCCACGATTGTCCTCAAATTTCGTCAACACGAAAAGCCATAAATTCGTCATCACGGAGAAATCCTATCATCATAGGAATAGAACTTGCCCTCATCAGGACTCCTCATTCTGTAAACACGGAGAAATCAAACTTGTCCTCATCAGGACTCCACATTCCGTCAACACGGAGAAAGCAAACCTCGTCCTCAACAAGAATCTGTATTCCATTAACATGGAGAAATAAAACTTGTCCTCATCAGGAATCCCCATTTCGTCAACACG